GCATCAAATGATGTCATTTGGTGACCAAACACTGAACATTCAACAGGGTGGGCTTTAGGCGAGTAAGGGCCAGCTTTACTTTGTACAGTGTTTTTTTAACGAGTTGAAGAATGATTGTGCATATGTGGTGTTGCTCAGGCCTAAGTTAAAAGGGGACTTGGGGGTCCTCCACTTCTGAACTACCCATAAAGTATATATATATATATTACACATATGTACAATAACTCACATTACAATACATAATGTCAAAATATGTGTGTGTAATTTTGTACAATGCAAATTAGAAATTGCACAACTCTGTTCTGCTTACGTTTGTGGGATGTGGTTGTGTTTGTAATATATTTAGAAGAACGTAGAATATTTTAATGTTTTAATCATAGTGTAAATCTGTAAGTGCATATAGAACTAAGTAATTAATTCTGCTAAGAAATTAGACAGGAACTTCAAGATTTGGCACGAATAACACCCTTGTTACGATAAGCATTTTCCTTGAGCATTTTTAACGTTTACACTTTCCTCGCTTTGCAACATACGTCAAGCAAAAAGTTTGTTGAGAATTCCTGAAAACAATTCCTGAAATCTGATTTTGCATATCCTTTTCTGTAATAATTTCCAAGATTAAAATATTACTTGGAAAAATTTCTATATAATATGTTGAAATACCTGTTATAATAGTTGATATTTAATTTTTAATACTACAAAACATATTTTATAAGATATTTTCATACTTCCTGTTATTAATTCTTGTTTGCCGTCGGTAAATAGTCAAGATTGCTAGTTCCACGAAAAAAAAATTTATCTTTTAATGATTCGTATGACAAATTAAATATTAAAGTTATATTTACGTAACCACCGATGTCAAAAGCATTTACTTTATTACATCTATATTTAATTTGCTCTGCTTGTATAAGACAGGTGCAAGTAATGATCTGCTGGACTTATAGTATTTCTCTTTGTAGATATTTTTCGATGAATATTCAGTAATGTAATTCGTTAATTATAAAAATCAAGCCGAACATAAGTAATTAAGGAAAAGGAATTGTTTTGAAATATAACGTATGAAAAAAATTGGGAAAATTCTTGAATAGTGTATACAAGAATCTTGCTTTGGCCATTCCTTGCACAGAAGGATACTATATTAGTGAGTGTGTGGGATTACTGTGTGCTTGTAGACCCAAAAGTAACAAATGACATGACCAGTCACTCTTTGGAGGAAAATAATATGGTACTACATTGACACTCCGTATTTCATTTTTGTCGGAAATGGGGGAAATAGTGTGTAATGTGACTAATGTTGACTATATGCTTCATTTTTATGAAAATCACACTGGGGGATGTGCCAGATTAGCAAGAGTACTGTATTTTCCCCTCTCTTAATCAAGGATAAATAAGGAAATGATTGTATTTTGCCATGTAAATTCTATATTATTTAAAGCAACGAAACAGAATTACTTTGTGATTATTATCAAATTAACAAATAGAAAATGCTCTTCCTACCTTCAAAAACAATCTATAAATGAAGGTCTGTTGAAAATCTACAGAATCATCAAAAAATATTAGCAAAAGACAATGTGAATGCGAACAAAAAAAAATTCCAAGCCTATTTTTGAATCTTCTAACCTTTGCTTTTATTTTGTTATTAAATTCATTAATATGACAGATAAAGGAAAGTGCTCCAAAATCTATATTTTAGACTTGCCATGTATTATTACTAATAGTTATATTTTCTCCTCTACAATATCTTAGAAAGTACATCTCAAGCTTTCTATTCAAATGACTAATTTAAGCGGAAGCGACGAGAGCTATTTTTGAAGAAATAACAAAGAAATGGCATCAACAATAGGTAGAGAAAAATTGAATAGTTAAGTATTAAAAAAGTATATCAAATGACAGAAAAAAAATGATGAATATTCTGATAAAAATAGTCAGTAAAAATGAATTTAAAAAGGCTTGCGTGTCCGTATTTTTGATGATAATGATTGAAATTAGAATACCTTCTTATTTGTTTTGGATATTTCTAGTAAAAAGTCGGAAGAAATTAGTAAGTTTAGCAGGTTCAACGTGTGCTTTTTACCTCGAAGATGGTAAACAAATCAATATTTATCCATGCATTAATATTGTAACGGAAATTGAACGAGCCTCTACTCTATTGTTTTGTACTGTACCTTTACAGAAAACTGAGCTATTCTTGAGATATAATGGCGTAAAGAATTTAACACATCTTTAGTGAGCTTGAATTTTTGTCTTTCATAAAAATTGATTGTAAGTATAGAAGGAGATATGGACAAGTGAGAGGAGAAATTAGAGATGCTCGAGATGAGATTTGAAGATTGGAAAATATATTTAGAGAGTTATAACTAAAGAAACGTCTAGTCGGAATGCATTACAAGGAATAAATTATACGTTAATTTTAATATTAATACTAATTATTCAAGTTTAGGAGGAAGTAAAACTGGAGAAACTTGTTTCGTTGCTAGCAGACAAATGCTAGCTGTAATAAATCATCGACGAATTCACCCTAAAAATATTCAACCCGTCGTTTATACAACCGTAAAATTTTATTTTAATAAGAGAGAAAAGTTTCCCGTACAATCTTCGAAGGCTTTTACTAAACAAAACAGCAGTCGGCTTCACTCCGGTCTCATTTACTTAATTGATTCGAAAAATCAAAAGGCTATTAAAGTGGCCAAAACATGCAATAAATATCAATTTCATTTAAGTAATTGAAATCTAACTGTGTTGTAAATTTCCAGACTACAATAGTTTAAACCAATGTCTTGTCTTTTCAGCTGCTTTTCTGTAAAAATCGTTTATATATAAAAGCTTTTTTTATTGTTTTCATACTACAATCTTTCGTCAGGTCTACACAGAGAAAGAAATCTTGGGCAACCTACTGTTTATTTATTAATGAATTAAAGAATTAGTTAATCAGGTGTTTGCACCCGTTATTTAATCATTAAGGTAAAACTGTTATTTATAAAATAATAATGATAATAATCTAATCAGCAAATACGAATAGATTTTGGCATAAATAATAAAATTTTAATTTCTTAAAGCATCAAAATTTCTCAATTTTTGGTGCTTTATAAATATAGCCGTTTGCTCGACTTGAATTATGCTCAAGCTCTTAATTGTCTGAAAAATAGATAACTCGAGCATTTATTAATTTCCTAGTTTGGTCAGTTGATAAATTTTCAGCTTGAATTTATCAAATGTGGTTTGACACGCGCGAATTGACACTTTTTGACAAGATTTTCGGATAAATAAATTTAAATTCGAAGTGCCAGACTGTCTTCGCCTATCAAAAAACACATTTTGCTACTTTTCGGGCATATTGTAATTTTGTTTTGGAGGGAAAAAGTTTGAGAATCTAAGGATAGGTGGATTTCAAGTGTGTCGTTTTGCCTTTTTCTTTCCTTCTCGCATCGATCCGGTGTGATTGGATAATCAATATTTTCATTAACTAGCTTGCTTAATGTAACATTATTGTAATTGCATAATTAATACTTAAATTATCAATTTGCTCTATAAATTACCTCTTTCCAGCTGTTCATTTTCATTCTTTTGACATTTTTTGTGCCTATCGAAATTCACAAGAATGCATTTTTGAAATTCTAATAATGCAGGATTAACAGGTAACATATTATAAACTTGCTATACATTTTTTACTGCGTTATTAGTCTAAATCATACATTTTTTTACTACATTATGCATTATAGATGCATAAGTATGTTGTTAACATGTCATTTATGTAACTCCTTATAGAAAAAATTACTGTAATTTAATTTAATCACAGTATTTTCCATGTATATAACTTTTTCAACTCCATGATTATAATAGTTTACCCTTGAATTTCTCACTTTACAATTATATAGTAGTGTATTCCATATGTTACAGTATAATTCAAACTTACATTTCACTAGAAAATTGCAGAGAAAGCATTTTTTCTTGTGGAAAAACTGCTAAACCAAACAAACTTATCTTTTTAAATAAAAAATGAGATGAGAGGGAGTTGATATGGCTTTTTGAAGGTGGCAAACACAATCTTCCTTCTCAACTACTAACAGAAATTTTAATAAAACTTCGCACACATTTTAATTTTATATCATTCATAAATAAAACATAATTAAATACATATCAAGACCTTTTGGAGCTTAGCAAATATTTATCTAATGTATTAACCACTGCCGGTGATTTGTCTTTCTACTTTGTAAACAGACTTTGAGTAAAAAAATGAATATGACTGCTTTCAATTAGATTGGAAAAAGTTGTTTCGAAGCGCGCGGAGGTAGGCAAAAGAATGTGTAGATTGCAAAGTGGAACTCTGTTTCACCAAAGGAGGCAAAAACAAAAATCAATACGTCGGGAAGAAATTATGCTCTAGGTATTCGGCCGGACGCAGCCAAAAATTGAATAATTTCCCCTCTTCGGCACATTCTCCAGATATGAAATTCTTCAGCAGACCTCACAGTTAATCCATTTTTGATTTGAATAATTGATTTTTGGCTTCTTACATTTCATTTCTTATTTCTAAACATTGACAGTATATATATATGATGATTAAATAATTTGTTTTGATATCAATTCTCATCATTAATTCTATTAAAGAAATATATAAATGTAAATATACATAGCCACAGTTGAATTTAAATATTGATTGAAAGTAAACATAATTAAAGAAAAGATTAGTATTCAGTTTAATTGAATTTAGAAAATTCTGTATAAATTTTATAATTTCAGTATAAATTTAATTAAAAAAGTGCAGAGTAAGAAGGGTTTTTTATCGACAGTTTAACACAAACTTATGGAACTTTTGGGATAAAAGTAATTGGGTCAAGGTCATAAAACTCTGGCAATTTACTGCTTGATTAACTCCTTAACAAATGAAATAAAAAAAAAAAGCATTAGAGTTGGAGTTTTTGTATTGTTTTCTTCTGTATACTTTATATATAGAATGTAACATTGTCATTATTAATCCATCTTATTTGTCTTGTCGTTAGTAGGTCACATCTGTGAAGAATCTGAAGCCAAATACGTACAGAATCCCACAAAAGTCGTCAGCCTTAGTGATGTTGGATCGCTCTCTAAATCCTGGATTGTCATTTGTCAGTTTGATTTTGTAACCAAATATTCAATCCTATCCCCTATAAAACTGAAAAATAAATGTTTTCTACATTTCTATTACAAAGTTATTGGTGTATATTATATTCATTTTAATTCCTCGCTCGTCTGGGTGAAGTTATGACGCACGAAACTGCCATATTGTATGAGTTAAAGCTTTATCTTACATTAAAACCTGTGTAAACCGGACACGTTTCCGATTTAAACAAGTTTACCTCGAGTTATCGATTAATAATTAAGATTATGGCTTCTCCTCCAAACAAAAGCATTGGGGGAGAGGAAAAAAACAGTAAAAATGCCTTTCGAAAGGGAAGAAATTAAAAGGAAAAAAAATTTAGATGGGTTTTTAATTGTTTGTGGGACGATGATATTTTTCACAAACAGAATTAACCTTCTGGAGACGGTCCAAGACGAACGTGGCATTAAACCAAGTTTACTAATTACATTCTAGTTTATAAAGAGAGAATCGAAAAAGGTTGAGGGAAGATTTGGGGTATTTTGGAGAATTATTCTGTCAACCCGAATTGGAAAACGTCCTGTGTTTTTTTCCCTCCCTCCTCCCCATCAGTCGCGGTGACGGCGCGAGAAACGAAATGATCAAATTTATGGCAGATTAATGGCTACCTTGAGAAATCATCGGGATGGAAACGATGGCAAAATCCATTATCAATATACAAATGGAATTCTCTAATGATTATCACAAGTGGGTAATTATCGGATCACTACCTGCAGCGAATTTCATTAAGCGACGGGGGGTTGGGCATAAAAAGTGTAATCGAATCGAAAATCTCCCTCTCCTCGAATAGGGGATTTGTATTTGATTCGAATTTTTTTTTCTATTTTCGGATGCAAATTTGTTTACTTTTCCGGCGCGATCGTTTTTCAGTGTACTTATTTTCCTTATATAAAAAGAACTACTATAAAAAAAATGGCCGATTCGTTTTAAATTTGCTTATTTTTCTCCGACAGAGTGGATTTTCAGAGAAATAAAATGGCATTGTTTCGGAAAAAAATGGCTTTCTTTCCGTAAAATCGAAGAGTAATTGGTTTACTTTCCTCAAAACTTTTTATAAAGGATACTTTTTTCCTAAATTATTAAACGTTTAAATAAAAATTTAATAAACGTCGCCGTTTAATCGCGGATTTTATCGAAAGTAAACGTGAAAGTAATGTAAATTATATACTAAAACAAAAGTTTTAATGAGGGAACTATTACGCATTTCCTTCTTTAATTAAAAATATTAAATTGCTTTAATAAAAATTCATTAAAAAATTCAAATTCACAAGAAAAAAAAACTTAAAATTGCGTGTGGCGCCATCTGTTAGATTTTTATTTAAAATCTTGCCATTTTATAATAATACGAAACGGCTTCATTTTTAGGGTAGAGACGAGTTTACTAAAAATTATAAATGCTAATAACGAGTAAAATCGTTATCCGATCCCATACGTGACCCTAAATCAGGGTATTTTCTGTAGAAAATCTCCAAAATTTCCTCAAAATTAGGTGTAAAAAATGTAAAAATCTGGGGGTCATCGCCATACTTTTCCCCTGTTACACGCACAACGGCCGGGAAAGTAAAATTAACTTACACAAGTTAAATAAAACTAAAAGCTCCTAAAATCCTTTAAATTAAAGTTTTAAAATACACAAAAAAAAAATAAATAAATAAAATTCATCCCTATCGATTATAGTCCGTATAATTTTATAATTAAATTTCCGATGCCATTCTTAATTATGCAGTTGACTGGAGGCACGAACGCATATTTTCTTTATCGAATAATATTAATTATATTTACGTTAAGGGATATAAAATAATATAAATTAAACTCTTCTTAAAACGGCGTTGTTACAAATCCGAATTTGGGGATAAAATATCGTCTATATTCCTACCCTAAAATTTTAGCGTTAGGGATAATAGATTGGGGAAAAAATCGATAGCGCGTGGCCGATTTTCCCTCTACACTGTGTGTCGATGTATTGAATATATAGACCAACACAAGAGGGAGCCGCATCATTTCCCGTCCGAAAAAAAAAATAAGACTTTAGGGAAATATCCCTACAACCAGCGTATTTTCGGTCGGGTGCGGGTAAAACAGGTGTTCGGCTTATCCTTCTCCCTCCCTACAGAAATAGGTTAGGCCCCGTGTCCGTTTGATGTAGTAAAGCACGCTTGCAATGATCTAAACATGTCTGACAGGGAAGGTTCGTCTGCTAGTGTTAGTAACTCCTCGTTTACTTCTTTTAGTACACACCACGTATTTAGACCGAGGGGGCTGACTTTATCGTCTCTCGTGTCTAAAATTAGATCGGAAGAGAGGGTTCCTAGCACGTCTTACGATGATCGCTACTTAGTGAGAAGTTTTAAAGTTACTTCTAAAGGTAACATAGTCAACACGGGAGATTCATTCCGTCAAAAATCCAGGAGTAACACTAACCTCGCCTCGAACGGTTCCTGCCCAATTTATCACGAAACTAAAGATGGATCGGCCCTCGTCCGTAGAGTGTTGATGCTCGGAGGTGTAGGAGTAGGAAAGACTGCACTGGTTGCCCAGTTTATGTCGTCGGATACAGCCAATGCCTACGATGGATCGCAAGGTGAGAAATTATAAAAATTCATATAAATAAAGCGCTATAACGGGGGTAACCTCCTGTATAACGTGTTTATATTTACGTACTGTACGTTCCGGGGATATTTCCTCAATTTCTCGCTGCATTGGCGGGTTTTAAATACACGTATATAGTGTGTTTTTATAAGGTACGTCCTTATTTGGCGGTGTTAAAATTATATTTTTGACTCGCTGGTGGGGGGAGATGTCCGCGTGACGTTAGTAATTGAATAAATAAGTTAGACTATTCAAATTGATTTTAAGACAGATTTACCTTGTTATAGTCGTGTTGCCAGCATCAATACTATAAAAAAATTAACATAAAAATTTACATAAACACTGTACTTATAACAATTAGGCGTGGGGGAACCTTCCCGTCTTGGCGACGGAACATTGAGAGAGACTTTGCATAATTAACCTAATTTAGGGAGATTTAAAGTGACATTTTCACAGATTATCTTCTCCAGATTTTAAAAATTATTAAGAAGTTACTTAAATCGATTTTTTTTAAATATATTCTGTCGATATGACATCGAAGTTATTCGTATCTGCTGCTTAATCATTCATTTACGAGGGCGTATCCTTCGAAAAAAAACGTAAAAAAGTCTTCTTATGAGAAAAGAAAAGATAAAAAGCAAGAATATTCAAACACGGGGCCAACGCCCGTGTAATCTTTTGTTATACGATATTCGCTCCTTTAATTAAATTAAATATCAAAATTACTGATATGATGAAAGAAATGTTACTTTAATGTTTGGGGATATTTCCCTGTAAAAAAAAATTTATATTAAAAACAGTAGAATTCTTTTATCAAATAAGGGAGTTAATGTTCTATTTATAACGTTTCTTCCCCTGTCGATACGTATTTTAACACAGTTTTTACGCATTTTCCTTAAAAATATTAGAATACTACCTTAACATTTGGGGATATTTCCCTATAAAAATACATTTCGAAAATCGTACTGTCGAATTTTACCTTATTCTAACGATTTTTCCCCCTTCCGATACGCTTCAATTGTAAACTTTTATTTTTTTTAACGAATTTTCCCTAACATTTCACGACTTTCTACATAAATATGTTTATAATTTCCCTGGCGTAAACCTACAAATTTATTGCAAGGAGCATGTTTTTTTTCAGAAACAGGTGGCATTTGAAACAAGGGAGAGTAGTAATTCGTATAAAACTCGAATAATTTCAAACGTAACTTTTAAGCGCGATTAATAGGCAATTATTTTGTCGCATATAATAATAATCGATTTTAAGTGTGGAAGAGCGTGAGAAGGGGGGGAAGAAAGGACATACATCATGAGATTAGATAGGGATAATCCGATATAGATTGATCCCCAAGTGTCAACGGAAAAATCTATTTTTCTACTTCTTTTATTTATAATAATGCCGCATAGAGGGTGAGGAGGGTATATTTTTTTTTTCTGTAAGGATGCGGATATTCTAAGTGTAGAAGTGGGGCTATTTCCTTTATCGACAGGAAAAAGGAATTAATTGATCGTGTAATTTTTTTCCTCTTCACGTTTCCGCCGAAATCGTTCGTTTAAGCGGAAACGTGAAGAGAGAATAAAGTCGCTGTTCGAGTAACTTAATGGATAGCTGCTGGGTTTTATTTTTATTTTTCCTATCGTTTCCATTAACCCCCCCCCTCTTTAACGCTCCACCGTTCGATGTTGGAACCGCATCTAACGTGTTGTTTTCGACGTTACGTGACACTTTTTAGAGGGGACGGTGAGCATTTCTCCCGCATAGAACGTTAGCCATGTGTTCACGTGGTGTTACTTCTTACAGCTGATGGCTGTGCGAAGAACGTGACCAGACATATAAGAAATCTCATTTTTTCGTTTTATTGGGTGGGAGATAAAGAAAACCGAACGGATGAGCCGTCGTGAGAGATCTCATTTTTTTTTATTTCTGTCCTCCTGCAGCCATCTAAACGCATCTCGATCACGTAATTGCATTTGAAAGACGAAGTCGAGATGCCGTTTTCGAGAAAATTTGTTGCAAACAACACTGGAGAGAAATTCCTGGTAAAGAATAATGCTGTGTTTCTTTCACTCTAAACAAACAGGAAATTATGGAGGGAGAGAAGAAAAGGAGAAATTTTTTCAGGAAATTACGGGATTTATTTATTTTATTTGAGGAGAAGAAGCTCTGGCCTGGCACCAGAATGGTTTTTTCGACTGTATCGATGGGGTAATAGTCGGACGTTTTAGTTATTTGTGACATACGGGATAATGACGTCGATCGTCGTTTTTCCTTTTTTTCTATAAATCGTACACGGAATAAATTTAGCTGTTTATTCGGTGTATTCCTCGTTGTCAAAACTTTGTGGCACTCGATCGATAAAGATTTCTTGGCCTAGACGGTGAGAGCGTGGCCTTTTAGAAAACTGATATATAATAGAGGCAAAAGTGCAGCGTAATTACACGCTGCCAGATAAAATATAGATTTTTCCATTGGTATAACTTTCTGCCCTACGTTTGTAATCTTCGTTATGGATTCTATCTGGCTCCGTTATTGTTCTCTCTTAATTAAATGCTTCCTGTTGAAAACTTAACGAGATAAATACGTTCGATAACTTAATTGGACATTCTAAAATTTGTTTCCCAATTAAAATTATAATTATGATTTATTAATTGCGCCTTTCGTATTGCTGAAAATGTAATATTCTTCGCCATTCGAAGCCCCGATGGCGTTCTTATTTAGTTTTTTTCTTTATTAAATTCTTCAATGTTTTCTCATCAAAGTATCTCTCGAGACTTATTTATCTTCTAAAACTAGTTTTTTTTCCTCCTTTTTTTTAAAAAATGAAACTACTTAAATTCGTTTACCAGATCAAAGCAACTTCCTTAGGTGATGATTTTAATTAATTCATGTATGCAGCCTCTCTTATAAGCAATGTCTTTTGTAAATATCCATACAGTATACCCCCTATAACACTGTAGATAATTCCGTGTTATATGAATTCCATGTTGTACGAGTCATTTAGATTTTACAAATACGTGTGCCGGGCTGTGAACGGCTCACGTATTTGTAAAATCTAAGTGACTCGTACAACACGGAATTCATATAACACGGAATTATCTGCAGTGTTATAGGGGTGTCTACTGTACTTTGAATATATAGCCTATATTTATTCTTTTAACATTTCTACGCGGTGTTTGCAATTAATGTTAATCATCATTACCGATTTATCCACATTTTTAATGGATTTTTTTAAATATTCAAAATTGAAATTGCAGATTTTATGGTAATTTTTATATTATAAATTAACAATTTTTTTTATTTTACTCGGCAATCGCTACATTAAAATTTATATAAGCATACGTTTTTTTTTAATTTAAAAAAAATTACCTAATTCAGCAATAAATATTAAAATAAAACTAATTTTTATTGATGGTCACGGTATGTTATATGTTAATTTTGTCTTATGATTGATGCTGGCTTTGATTTATAAAATATATTAGGAATTTCTGACGTAATTTCATGCCAGAAATTGATAAAAAAAAAAGGAAGAAAATACATTGTTTGTAATATAAGAATGTATAAAAAGAAAATATTTTTAAGATTAAATCCGCTCCGTTATCAAACAAAACTGTACTGTTATGATAGGTCATATAACTCCTTATATAATCAGCAGAGTTTAATGTTTCAGTAATGTATTGTGGGATTGTTTTAAAGAATCGATTTTCTAGCGATTTCGGAAGATATCAAATTTTAACACTTAAATTACCGTATCATTTTAACATAAGCGGTGACGAAATCAATGTCTGTCACATCATCCCCGTGTCGAGCTGATACAATAATAAACGACAAATTGAAAATAATGGTAACTATGGATACTATTATATTCAACAGACACTAACAAGTAAAAATCAATGCTTTTACTGGTCATTCGCAACTGATAAATGGCCAAAATATGATGGATATCGAGCGTAACTTTTTCTTCTAACGGGTTTGAAGTATTTAAGTATCAAATTCTTCTGTTTTAGACGTGAATATTTGAACTAAATAGTGACGTTTCGTGTTACGAATGTTTCTGTTACGTAGCATAACAGAAGCGTAACCCGGGTATTATGCTTATGGGAGGGGAATACACCCATTTCCAGAACAAAATCACTGGTTGACAATTCGAAATTTGTCCTTCTAATTATATTCATTGGTTAAAAAGTGTAAGGTTTTAACAAATTCTTGCATACTGGCCCACGTGATTAATCGATTTATTAATTACATTTCGAACGTTTATAACCTAATTTAAATTGGTTTAATCGTAACAGAATTTACGTATTTTGTTTCCGCCGATGTTATTGTTTACTCTGACAAAAATTCGCCTTTCTCTGACTTATGAATAATTTATAGTGACGCGTTTATTATAACAATAGAATTTTGTTCGATATTATACCAAATCAATAGAATTACTAGAATATATTTTTACTTTACTTTGATTAGAAATTATAAATCCCAGCGTGCATTAGACACTGTAGATGTTTTCACTTGATTACTTATTCTAGACAAAGAATATTTTCTTGAAAAGTTAATATTTGAGTTACGCCTCGAATGTTAATTTTCTTTACTCTTTGCCAAGCTATTAACAAGTTTTATGCATATCTAACACACAAATTATAGACATTGTAAAGAGGAGAAACTTTTTAACAATGTTTTCTCTAAGTAATTAATTTATATACTTGTTTAATTGTATGCAAACGGGGCCTCCGACAGGCCCGGTTTGGCATTCCTTCGGGCCCTTTTTTTCTATATTATAAAGGTATTAAGATAAGAAATATCAAATTAATTTTCTTCAAAACTCGTCATAATTATCGGAGAAATTCGTGTTAATTTATTTTATTTATGAGCCTTTATTCCTACGGGGCCAGATAATTTATATCCATTCACCGTACAGAAGTGTATAAATAAGCTATTTAAATTATAAAGGCATACAATATTTCTTATTCATACTGTATATTGTATTGTTTCCAAATCTGAATAATGTAAGTGTCTTATTTTTCCTTATAACTTAGATTTATGTCTCAAAAGTATAGTCATAAATATATTACTTTAATTATCAGATTATATATATTTTAAAAAAGATATAAATATGCCCAAAAAATAGGCGAATATATAGAGTTATGCGGGCCACAGTTTGAGTAATGTTATATTAAAGCACTCAAAAATTATAGATCTATTAATTCCTACCGTCTGTCTGTCTGTCTGTCCTTCCATAATCTCGAGAACAGATATAGAAAGCTCGGGAAGGGACCCACATTAATTATACATACGGTCTTCTGGTTTGGACCGGAAGTCACGTTATTTAAATTTAAAAAAAATGGCCGGCATGACTCAATTGTTAACAGGAAAAGCAGGAGAAAGACACTAATAAATATGAGACACTGTGACGAAAAATTGCATTCCAGCATTATGACGTCACAATAAATAATTGCTCGTTTAATTTATATTATTGTCGTGATTTATAATATTGTAATTTAGTTTGCAAATTTACAATATGATTAAATTTGTATGCATATTTCGAGTTTGAATATTGTTTAATTAATAACAAATAGGCCTAATCTTTCTATTCGTGGATCGTTGTTTGCGTAATTTTTAGTGTATTTGAATCTTATAAATGATAAAATATGAAAAAATAAGCAAACAAACAATGAAATAACTTACTTGATTCGTCCATTTTTTTAGACATTTTGAAGTTTTAAACGAATCCAAAATCTTTGTTAGGCCTAAACGTCATTAAGCCTATTATCGCAGCAGACGATAGTTTAACCGATTTTTCTTAAATATTTGCATATTTATAACCACAATTAATATTAAACTCTGTTAAATCGAGTAAAATAATTCGAATTTTAACCATTTTAACTTCGTTTTATTAAGATTATTCGTTAGTTTGACTTATCTAATTAGCTTAAGCTAGCAGACGACTTTTTTTCCACTTCGCGTGCAGACGACAATTATTAAGTGCGGGACAGTGAATTCATTATTTGACCAATCGCCGCGGTTGACGTTTATATATCGAATTCGAACTGACCAATCGACGGTCGTTAATCAAATGTCCAATTGATTAATAGCCAATCACTTTTTTTTGGTTCGTTAAAAATCGATTCTGTATAAGTTTACTCCAAAATCTCAAAGCGCAGTTCATTGGTTGATTTTTTCTTTAATTATCTAATAATTTACCTGCTCTTATATTTAAAAATTTATAAATTTTTAAAGTAATATATCTTATAACGCTGTGAGTTTAAAAATAAAATATATCTTAGAATTTTCAAGTGGGCGTCTGTCAAGTTTCGTATCAACATTTTTTTTTTTTTATTTTGCATTTTGTTATTATTATTTTTTTGAAAATTTAAACATATGAGCCGTTTAAAAATGTCTTTAAATTTTTTTAATTAAGAAAAGTTTTAATAATTAAAAATTTTAATTAATTTTATTTAAAATATTAAATAATTTTCGTTTTACAAAATGAACTTCCGTTTTTTTCCGTTTCGTTTGATAATTACGTTTGTTATATTCGAATCGATTTTGAATTAACCAATCATTGACGAGGATTTGAATTTTTGTCATTTAAATTAACCAATCGACAATCGGGACGCGAATTTTAAATTTTAAATGAGCTAATCAAAGGTAACGATTCGATTTTTCGAATTTAAATTAATCAATAAAGCTTTATCTTTTATTTTTTTTCATACAAACAATAAAATTTTATATAAAAAAACGTAAACGAATGCGATTACTATTTGACTAAATTCCATTAAAACTTCGTTAACTGAGAAAATTCATTAGTCATTAGGTGACGTCATAAATGAATAAGTAATTTAAATTAGTAAGTTTATCCTTTATTAAATTTCGAGAAAATTACACAATTTAGTAATTAAAATTTTATATGGGCTATCGGCGGGCATTTAATTTTTAATTAATTTGAAAGATTTATTAACTTTGTGTTATCGTGAGTTGAATTAAACGGGAAAAAAACGGGCGCCATTGTTAATGATTTTCAAGAAGAAAATTTTTATCATTTACGAACCAGATGCCTTTGTCAACATTCACAAGCCAGCATAAATAAAGACATGTAGAGGACATTTCTAATTTTATAAACTATATATTTAGTAGCTAGAAGATAGCCTTCAAACAATATCTCATCATCACAGTAATTGCTCTGTGTAATGCGTAAAACTGAAGCGGGGATAATGTATTTTTCACGCTACTGAAGGTAAAATAAAAGGGATAAAAAGTGGGCTAATTCGCTTCTCATCCCGAAGAGATTATCGAAGAAAAATTCCCTAAAGTAAGATTTATTTTGTAGAATGTAGTGCCGTTAATCTCGCTAATCCCTATTGCCTCGTAACTCTTAATTAACAGCCAAATCTATTATTTATCGGCACTTAACTAGGCCTAAATTTCGTAGCTACTATGCATCAATAATGTAAAATATTTTAGGTGATTTATGTTACTAGGTACCATGTCTATGCATTGTTAACGAAATTCAACAGGTGCACATAACAGATAAAACGGAGACCTTTTATCTGTGCATCTGTGAGCTATTCTTATCTGTAAGAGACAAGAATAGCTTATAGATACGCCAACGTACAACGAACTAAATCGTATGATTTGAATTAGGAATCATTCACAATGCCAATGAGTCATGTGAACTTGGCATAGAACCCATTCTAGAAACCACCTTCTCACCTACAATAGATGCGCTTCGTCCTTAATAGGAGGAGGGGGCGAAAAAGACAGGCGAATACAAACGAGGTCGATCACATAATATTAACAATGGCAGCATGATTGGGTCACGTCTGGTGGCGCCTGATTGTCGTTATTTCTTCTAAAATATGAATACTGGCTGGAGAGTAGTTGCGCTGTTACGTCACTTACCTAACTGTTCTTTGACATTTACGCTTCTTTTTTAAATTTATGTGTAAACAAAGACCTCGAACGTTGTCTATAAGATCTTGAGAAGTATTTTTCGGTAAAAAAAAAACACTAAAGAATTTTATAAAACGTGAAAAATTGCTTCCTAACTTCATACCGATAGTTTTTACGCTACTTTTCACTGTGTTTCTTGAAAAGTTTTGTAGATTACCTGAAACTATTCTTATATAATTCTTACTACATAACACATATATTTAATTAATAATTGTATTTTACTTATATTTTTTAAATCTAAAATGCACTTTGAAATACAGTACGCTACGAACTACGAAGTACAGTCGACCCCCTATAACACTGTTGATAATTCCGTTTTATATGAATTCCATGTTGTACGAGTCACTTAGATTTTACAAATACGTGNATAACACTGTTGATTATTCCGTTTTATATGATACGTGAGCCGTTTACAGCCTGGCTCACGTATTTGTAAAATCTAAGTGACTCGTACAACATGGAATTCATATAAAACGGAATTATCAACAGTGTTATAGGGGGTCGACTGTAATTTTTTTATAACTAAATTAATAGACAATACATAATATAATTATACTGTATTTTTGAACGAATGCGCAATACAGAAAGAAGAATGCAAAGTTTTAAGTAATTTTCCTTTGAAATACAGTTTATTTAAACTTAGAAAAATGTCACTTTGACACATGTCAAATAACCTACTCGGTCCTATGACAAGCGATCCCCCATCTCGAATTTCTTAGGCACGTCAATCATAGAGATACAAAAGAAACAAATACTGTGTGTGTATTTTGATTAAATGATGTCGTTTCAAATAGAAATATTTATAAAATAATCTTTTTTTGATTATTTTATATATCATAATTTATTCGAAGATTAATTCATTAAATAAATATCTTAAATTAACCGTGTCTATCACATATCACAGAAGCTAAGTGGGATTTTTGGCGCTAGTTTTGTGTGTTAATTTTAGTACATTTTTTAAAAGTTGTGTGTAATTTTATATGTGTTTTTCTTATAGAAGAAGAAGTAGAAAAGACAGTGTCGGTACTATTAGAAGGAAAAGAATACGAGCTTCTATTTTCTGATACACCAATCCCTCCTGATATACCGGTAAGTGATAAACTATATATTTCTAAACATTTGTGAAAAATACAAACCAATCTCTTGACGTAGCTCATAATATAAAAAATATCCAGCAGAGTTGAGTAACTTTCCCGGTAGACAAATTTAAAATTGTGTATGGCGCCATCTGTTACGACATATTTTTTTAAAAACCTTTTATATTATAAAATAACAGAAAGCTTAATTTTGAGTGTTGAGATGAGTTTCTTGAAAAATTGTAAACGCTAATAACGAATAAAATCGTCATTAAGTCCGACCTTACTGGAGATATACACGACCCCCCTTATCTCCCCACCCCGTCGACGTATAACCACCAAAATTTAACAGCATCAATCACCCTAATACCCAAACCTCCCTGCAAAATTTCAGAAATTTTCGACGAAAGGAACGGGAGTTATTAAGCTTCAAAGTGGGTGAACAAAATCGTGCCTCCCCACACACAATACGTATTTTCCATTTATTGACGTTTCAAACTCTCCCGAGTTCAAAAATGTAAATACCTTTGAGGATCATTTTTTTTGGCCGATCGCCATCTTTACGTAACAGCCAGGAAAATAAAAATAATAATGATGATGATGATAATATAAGTAATCAATTTTCTCTTTATCTATCTCTCCTCCCTTCATTTTCACGTATTTATCAAGGCAATTTAGTTAATGAAATTCTCTTCTTTTCTATTCAGAAACTAAATCCCTTCAAACTAAATCCTCTCTCTTCTTAAGAAAATAAAAAAAAAGAAATGATAAAATATACTATATACTTGGCAAAGTTTCTACGATCAACAAACTTCATCCGACATTAAATCACTCTCATGAGAGTTTATTACAAAAAACTTGCAATAAAACTAACTGTGTATCGACTTTATTATATTTTACTTTAATATCTGACAATAACGGAGTTAAAATTACCCAACAGGCTTAATATATTATCGTAAATTTTAAATTTGTAACGTTTTGTTTTATTAACTAAATTCTGCATTCAAATATTTAATATGGAAGCTTCACCCAGCAATTTCATTGATAAATTTGAAATTTAAGCAACGCCCATTGCGTGATTTGAAACTCAATCAATTGGATTGGTTAAAATTTAAATAATCCTATACGTAACGCTGAAATTTAAAGACGTTATTGGCCGGATTTAAATTTTAAACCACGCCCGTTATCTGTTTAAAAATAAAAACGGTATTGGTCGAAATTTAAATATAATTACATGACGTAAAACTGTATTATATTGTTATTGGTTGAGGTCTATTTTAACTTATAATTACTTAAATTTAATTTTTAATGTTAATAATTATTCTGTGTAAGAAAGTTGTATTCTATCGTTATTGGTTAAATTTAAATTTAAATCACTCCAATCGCAGAAATTCAAAATAAAATAAATTTTTCTTAAATTATAATCAATAACAATTTTTCCTATAGTTTAAAGGGTGTGGTTTAATATTTAAATTTATCCAATAACAATTTAATTCTAGTGTTTTCATGTACAGACTGAGCATAATTAAAATATCCCTCTTCAGAGATGTCTAGAGAAACATCAAGGGAGCGTAATTTGACAAAACTCGGTAATAATAGTAATACTAAACAATTAGTTCCAAAACTCACCACCAGCAGACAATATGTCACTTGAGAAAACGTTCTCATGACCAAAAACTTAAACCAGTACACGTAAAAATCCTGTTTACACATATCAACACTTACAGCAATCTTTAAAGCACGCATATTATAGTTTTACTTGCCTAACAGCGCCATATTGACCCTGGTGGCGAGTTTTGAAACTAAATGTTTTTTCATGAATCTCGCTTCCGCAAGTCTTGGCTAGCATTATCATCTAGTTTTGTCCCATTACGCCCCATAGATGTCCCTAAATAGTTACGCTTTAATTATGATCGTCCTGTACAGTACAAAGTCTAAATTTTAATCAAAGTTTCATTTTCAATTTTTTTTTCTTTTATAAAGAAATTTTAAAAGTAGTTTTTTATTTGTTAAATACGGGTTTATATCTTATAATGTGTATAATTTATTTGTAGACAGAGCATGCACTTTTCCAGAAGACAGACGCTTTTGTAGTCGTTTATTCAGTAACTGATCGGGGAAGCTTCAATAAAGCATCTACCATCTTGAACGTACTGCAAGAAAAGGAAGTTATTGAAAATAAAGCAGTCATTTTAGTTGGAAACAAAAGTGACTTAGAAAGAGCAAGAGAAGTTCCTACCGAAGGTAGGAAAAATCATTTTTTCTTAATTAGCCCGTACCGCCATCTGTTAGCCACAAAGTCAAACAATTTAATTAAAAATTCACTAACGCCTCGAAAAAATCAAATACATTAAAAAATTAATCATCTAAATTTATAATTATTTCGTATTAATTTTTAAATAATTAAAGTATAATTAATTTTAATTAAAAAAAATTAACTTTTAAAATGTGCCGCCATCTATTGATGGATTTTATAAATATGCATATATATATATTTTTTTTTCTTTTTACAGATGCTAAATCGATCGCTAGCAGCTACGACTGCAAATTTATAGAAGTTTCAGCAGGATTTAATCATAACGTTGATGAGTTATTAGCCGGTATAGTTAATCAGATAAGATTAAAGGATAAAAAAGATAAGTTGAGGACATCTAGTCCGAAACCTTCTGGTTTCCTGAATTGGTTACTTGGTAAACCCGAAACTCAGATCAAGTCGAAGTCCTGCGAGAATCTTATGGTGCTGTGAATTAATTATATCTTCCATTTAATTTTAAAAATTAATATGCTTATGTAAAAGCGTGCTTTCGCATTTAAATTTCAAATCAGCCAATTATCGTAGGGAATTTTTTAAAGACCAATCGCTCAACACTTTTCGATTTAAATTTAAAATATATCCGACCAATAAAATTCGATTTCATATTTGAAATTTTAAAACGCATGCGTAGAGCGTAGCGATTTTTGTTTTTAAATTTTAAATTAGCCAATAGCAGGTTTCTAATTTCAAAATTAACCAATTACGATTGTATATTTTTTAAAACGTATTAACTACGTCAGATTTGTAATTGAAAAGTTTTCTATTTCGGTTTAACACGTGGTTTGATCGAAAGGGTGGTGTTTGAGGCTTGTTTAATACGTGTTTAATGCTGAAAAAAAAAATTGAAGCGCGCATGGAATATCTTTATAAATAATGAATGCAACGTTTTATAATTGTAGAATTATTTAATTTAAATTAATTAAAGAAATTGAGTTGTAATTATTCTAGTCTTGTATAAAATCCGATTATGTGTTTATAAACCTGATAATCGGACGGATTTTTTTATTTATATTGGAATGACTTTTTCCACGACCGTTCGTGCCTTTGGTGTTGCTTCTATGCGCAAAAAGTTTTCCTTTTTTGCAAGCATAAATTTGACATTTTTCGATTTTATTTATTTTTACTTCGATGTATCTATAAATCTATGTCAATATTTGAAATAAAATATTACTGTATCGAGCAGTTTACTGAACTAAAAATAATTCAAATAAATATAATCTGGAAAAAAAGAGGAGGGTGTAGTAACATCGTTAAAATGAACGTTTCATTCTGTTTAGTGACGACAGATAATGCTCCACAGTCCAACTAGACCTTATAAATTTTAAAAAGCGATAACATATTCGCATTATTCATATTAATGACTAAACAGAAAACCGTTTTAAACTTTTATTTTATTTTTTTTTTCGATTTTTATATATTATCGTTCCCATTTCGCATAATGTTTCTGAATAGGAGAACGTTTGCAACGTTCCTCCTTGGTAGAAGAATGTTATAAATAAATTATAGGAAGGAACTAGTCACAAATACTAAAATATTGAATCGGATTTTAGTACAATTAGAAGTATTCTATATACATTTTTAATTGATTTTGTAATGCTTTATAAATTCTATCGTTTTTTAAAAATTTTTAAACTAGCTACAGAGCTAATTATAAGGTAAATTTAGGCTATACATTAACGCAGATTTGAAAATTGTCTAAAATTAAATTGTAAAAATTCATGTTTCTTGGTTTTATATTGCGATGAAACATTCAACGTCTCTATATATATTAAGACCAAAATGTCATTCTATTGTCTTCTATACTAACAGTAAGGATCTGAAGCAACTGCCATTTTGAAATTATACACAAAGACAATGATGACGTGGAACATAATTCAAGATTTAAAGCTCCTAGCTACAATCGATTTGAAGATAAAAATCTGTATAGACAAGCAGACAAAGTGAAAATAATAATCGATTTTCTCAAGTTATTTTAAAAAAGAAATGAACAGTTACGTAACATAGCATGCAATTGTTCGTTTAAACATACCGATAACATCATTAATTGGAATTGAAAATTTCAGTTAATTATAATTTAATAATCACAACATTTTGATTAATGGCTGAAACTTAATAACGAAGTCGACGAGTGAAGATAAATTAGCAACAATAAATGGTTTTTATTCCCATGAATATCAAATCGCGTGCGATTTCAGTTAAAATATTATATGAACTTATTGAAAATTATACAGGAAAATACACAATTTAAGAAGATCTTTAATTTCATAAAATTTAAATAAATATTATGTAAAATATCGTAAATACTGACAAATAGTTTAAGTACAGTCGACCCCCTATAACACTGTTGATTATTCCGTTTTATATGAATTCCATGTTGTACGAGACACTTAGATTTTACAAATACGTGTACTGGGCTGTGAACGGCTTACGTATTTGTAAAATTAAGTGACTCATACAACATGGAATTCATATAAAACGGAATAATCAACAGTGTTATAGGGGGGTCGACTGTATTTAACCTTCAAACTTGTTTAAAATAATAATAATCCTGTATTAAATTAACTGAAAAACATTATATTTATTTGTCTTGTAAATTTAAGACTAGTAAATTTAACTAAGCTTTTACGCAACAGAATAAACAAATAATTTTGCAGCTAATCTCAACCTTTAATGGATGGGTTCATTTCTAATATTCCAATGCGTGGTTATTTCGTATTATGTCGAGTTTAAGGAATAGCGAATTGGAATATTCCCCAAGCAAACAACCTGGAATGATATGAGAAATGTCTTGAATACAAGCCAGAATACATAAGAAAAAATTTTTGCCTGAGGTATAGGACGTTGAATAAATGTTAAAGTGCGGGTCAGGAGTCGAATATTCTTTAAAATAAATCCAAATAATAGCAAATCTTTAAGCAAGATTCCAAATATTCATTCATATTTAATGACTAAAAGAGAAATTCGTGAATATTTAAAGCCTTTGTAATAATGTGTGGGTTCAAATTTCAAAAACATGTAATATATTTTTTGTTTGTCAATAATATATAAGATTTAAAATGTCTCGCTGTTGGATTATAAATTCCCACGTAAGACACTCGTACACGCATATATTGACGTTATAAGCGCCTACATGCTTTCATATAAGCCTGTACACTTAGGTTATAAACCTCTAAAACATAATTACTACGTAACATAGTAATGGCATCAATCTAGTTAATTCAGATTAACGATGCATTTACTTCCCACCAAATTATCAAACCAACTTGAAATTTAATTAAAAGCTCAAATTTATCAAATAATAATTATTATTTTCTAGAAATTGTCTGTATTAAAATTGAAGAAACTTAAGAATTAATTACTTTCTGGAAGATACAAGTGCCGTTTAAGTGATTATTAACTAAAAAACAATGTCTATATTTGTGAATCTATTAAAGATAATTTAAATTCTTGTTTGCACTGGAAAAATTATTGCTAAATATATTTGCTTGTGCGTGTTTACGTCTGCATATGTTCAAGCATTTTATACATTCGATTGATGAACCCTTGGAAAGAAACTAGGTCTTACAAGCGAATTTAAAGTTGTGTACGATATTTTCCTATTAAGAAAAAAAAAGGGGGCTTCAAGGTAGTAAATATTCAGTTTTAAAACCCTATTGCACGAGTAGAATTGGCGAATGATTAACAGTAAAGTGTGAATGACGGAGTAAATGCAATATCAAAGTTGCAAAGTTCAGTTAAGTCGCATCTTGTGATTTGACATGTGGAAATGTTTGACAGCATCAAGCAGCCTTATTTTCTATACTGACGAAGATCCGATTTGTGTAAAATATGAGCAAATTTAGCCAGTTTTTAAACTCTGAAATCAGTTCACGGGGGTGAATGCTTTACACCGAAACAACTCAAATTAACGCATCTCTAGCGGGTATTTCGCAGCTTAAAACCAATTTAATCTCGAGTTCTATCAATTACTTAATTAGCTGCTCGTTTATTTTAATTGTATTTTTTTTTTTCCTCAAGTAAATTAAAACAAATTCTAATTAAAATTTATGAGGTCCTGTAATTAGCAATTCAAATGGAGCCACCCAATTTCCACGAGTGTTCAACAGATGGCGCTAACGTGTAATTAAAAACCTAAATTATCTTGTTAAACAAATATAAATAAATCGTTAGAAAATTAATTAACTTTTCCAAATTAAGTAAATATTTATTATATAATATTCAATCAACATTTAAAAAAACCCCCCGTCAACTTGTTATTATGTGCGCTAGATGGCGACAATTCGAATTATTTAAAAAGTTTTCTAACCATCCGATTGGTTGCTTAATTTTGAATTCCGACCAATCAGTGCGGTCGAGTGAAATTTTGAATATTTTTGTAGCATTGCCGGATGATTTTTATATGGAACGACATTTTAATATATCAAGTTTAAATTTATTGGAACGTCCTGGATGTTTTTCATTAGATACTAAAAGAAAATTTCAATTTAAAGTGTCAATAGTGGGGGATTTTAATCGATCAAAGCTACTAGAGTAATAATTTCGTTTAAATTTAGGAAGTTTTCAAGCGAATATTGACCTTAAAAATAATTATCATTAATGGTGGATTGTGGCAAAATAAATTCGATACGACGCTTTCATTTTTTTTAAACTTTTAATCGCCCGTAAATTCAATTAAAATCTTTAAAACGGTTATTGGTTAATTCAAAAATAAATTTATTACTTAAAAATTTTTAAATTAATTAACTAACGACCGCGTGTTAAATTAATTATTGGAGTTTTAACGACATTTAATGAATAAAGTCAATTTACAGTATTAACGCTTTTTAAATTTAGCCATTTTTAACGTTGTTTAACATTTTAGAAATTTTGAAATTATTGGCCAATTCAAAAATTAATTAGCCAATAAATAAGCTAAATTTGAAGTGTGACGTATTTCAAATTTGAACAAATAGTTTATATTGTTTTAATCAACGTAAAAAAATTTTAAACTTCATTATTGGCCAATTCAAAAACAAATCATCCAATAGCTGAGCTCCAAATCGATTCCACGATTTAAATCGCGTGAATGGATAAATTACTGACGTGACGTTTTTTAAATTTGACCATTTAGGATTACTTAATCAATTTTAAAAGTTTAATGCGACATTATTGGTTAATTCAAAAGCAAATCATCCAATAACTGAGCTCTAAATCAATTCTATGTTTTAAAATCGTGCGAATGAATAAATTATTGACGTGACGTTTTTCAAATTTGACCATTTAGGATTATCTAATCGATTTTAAAACTTTAAAGCGGAATTATTGGTTAATTCAAAACACAAATAATGGAATAGCCGAGCTTTAGCATAATTGAAACGTGATAATTTTCAAATTGACCACTTAACAATCATTTAACTTTTCTGATTGACGTAAGAGCCACGTTTACTGGTTGAAATTCAAATAAATATAAGTTATTAGCCAATGGTAGTTTTTTAAATTAATTATTCAAATCTTAACGAAATTAATGAGTAAATTAACCGTTAAACAATATTTTTGAACAAGTTTTTTTTTGGTTTAAATTGACATAAAAATATTGAGTAAAACGACGTTATTTATGAGTTTACAATAGGAAATTTTATATTTTATTGAATGGTAAATACGATAAATCTTTCATTGTTATGAAATAAATTTGAAAATAGGAAGATTAAAGTATAGAAACAAGCAACAATTGGAAGATAAATTGTTTCAAACAAGGGAAATCTCTAAAAATACGCTTTAATAAACTATTATTTTTGAAAAAAATTGTGTAAAAAAATATACTGTACTGTCTCCAGAGAGACTTGAATGGGACTGATCATTAGAATCAATTCGTCCTTAATTTAATTTAAATCTATAATTACGTTACTTAAAGCCCAAAAGTACTCATTAAAAAAGACTTACGCATTAATCAGAGACGACGAGTTACAAGACAACAGAAAAATAAAAAAGTCGATTTTTGTACTGGAGTAACTCGAACTGTGTGACGTAGCATAAAAATAGAGTAAGAATGCTTTCAGAAGGCTCTTCTTAAGTTATGTCACGTCACATCTGGCCAACCAAAGAAGGTGTTATTTAAGGCGTTACGAGGGAGGGAAACGGGGATGGAATCGAGTAAATATCCCAACAAATTATGATCGTAAAAGTGATTGAGATATGTAACCTTACACCCACAATTGGACGCTTTGATGCGATGCTGTATTCTATTATCTACTTACGAAAAGAGAAAAAAAAATCAAATAATCAAATGCAATTATTTGTCTCGAAACTTTGACCCCCTCTGGAAAATTTTCCGCGGGCGCCCATGATTACAAGTAACGCCATCTTTGATTGGCTAGGTGTGACGTAACCTAAAAAGAGCCTGTTCGAACACAAAGCGAACTGCTCTCTCTCTCTCTCTCCGCCTGTCGACAATACAATTTTATGCAAATTAGAATCAAAATCGTGCAAACAATACATTACAACGTTGTCAGATACAAAAATATAATGAGATTACATATATTTTTAAAGGGAAAAATTTTCAAATTTGGCCCAATCGTCATCATTTTAACAATTTATAAACCTTGTTATTTTGTTAATCCAAAAAAAAAAAGAAAGAAAGAAAAACAAATCAGCAATTAGCCGAGTTGTAGATCAACCGTGAGTAATTTTAATCATACTGGTGTTGTTTTCTGTGTTTTGCCAGCGATGATTTACATATTTACATACTATATTTACGTGTATTTTACCTTTTTTATTGAAAATATAAACTTTTACATACATTCAAGCGGTAAGCAAATTTAAATTTATGCATTATAATATATATATATAGGCTATATGTAAAATTTTTTTTTTCCTCTATCCCTCTGAAAATAAGCATCTAGACAAAAATAATCTTCTTTCTTACATACGATTTGAAATACATATGTATTCATTATCTCGGTAATTAATAAAATATATTCAGTTAAAGTTACATAGACTTACAGCACATAGGTTTTGATATGAATTTCCTCTTTAAGTTTGATATAATATTTTGTTAGTTAAGGTGCCTCGAAACAATAATAAACTAACTCGAACCTGCGAGTTTCTTCGGAATAAAGCAAACAAAAAATAATAATAATAATTGAAAAAATAAACAGTTGGATACAACGTAGTGTCAGGCACACTGACTTATTGCTGAATATACGAGTTAAAAACTTCGAACTGGCTCGGTTTATTAATATATATATACTTTTTTTGAAATTTTGAGCATGGAGAAATTTAAACTTTGGCCTTTTTAAATATCAAATTAAAATTGGACCATCATTCCGATTAAAGTTTATAATGGATATGTTGGATTCGCGTAGGCGCGTTAATTCGATGTTGTTGTCATCGTTGTTATCTGTATACCATCGTTTATATATGTATTTATGTTATGGTAATTTGAAGATAGAAAAACAAAAACAAAAAAATGGCTACTTATATAACATTGAGATCGTCGCAGGAACGAGCTTTCAAGTCACATTTTTGTAGTATTTTATCCATAATGTCTCTTGCTTTTCCTACTAATCCTGTGGCGCTCCAGCTTCCTCTGCTGACAGATAGGCGTTGCTGCTTGGCTTTTAAACGTATCTGGCTGACAATTCCTACTAATAATTCGTCCACGTTGTGGTTAAGGAGAGCTGATGTTTCGATATACTTCGTGTCGTAGCGATTAGCGAGTGTTCTACCTTCTAGAGAACAGAAAAAAAAAAGTCACGTGTAAGGAACGAACACGCAGATATGCCTGGTCTCTCCTCTCGTGTTTTTATTTTATTTTATTTTATTTTATTTTAAATGTATAAATGGGTCAAGAAAAAGAGAATTAGGGCAGCTGGAGACTTTAAGGAATCCGGTAATTAGTTTAAATTTTAAAGTGGGATAGGCAAATTTGGTAATATTGAACTGACAGAAATGATGAAATAACTCGACTCTGCCAAATTAAATGGAATCGGTTCAGAAATTGGAAGGGAGAAAGATAAACAAGATGTGCCCAGCTCTCGTCTTTAATTGCTTTTGCCAAATTTAATTTAACGATTTCCTTACAGATTTGTAAAATTGTTAGCGATCGTTTTACCGGAGAAACCAGGCTAAGTAGTCGATTTTAATGAAGTTTTAGAAAGTTACCATCCGAAGACACCGTCCTCCCTCTCACTAAGTCGACTTTGTTCCCGACGATAATGACAGCTTTGACTGGACAATAGTCGAACAGGCTGGACAATGACGACAGAGTACGACTGGCGTAATTGTAAGTAGATCTGTCTGTCACCGAATATACCACGACAAAAGCATCCGCCGAGTTTAGGCATTCTTCATCGATCTATAACAGATAATTAGGTCAAGTTTACACTACGACACCTCGCTGATTGATTTGTCTAAATGGAACTTACCGTGACGTTCATGCAGTCGACACAAACTAGCTTGGATTCTACACCGTCCACCATCAACGTCACCGTCTTTTCTGGACAATCGTCTGTAAACAAAAACAGGTATTACGAATCGTCTACCCCTACTTTCTTTTTTACCGGAGGCAATTTCCAGAAGTAATTTCTTGTTATGATGTAAGGGAAGCTTTACAGGAGAGGAAAACTGTCAAGCGTTAATAATTGCCCGCTTTTAAGTCGAGAGAGTATTGATTTTATAATAGAATTATTTATTGAGAGTCTGACAAATCTTTTTCTTCCAATTCAATATAAAATCACTTGCCTTCTACGTTACGTACTGGAAAGAAGAAAAATGCTGACTCGTGTAACGAGTACAACGAGCTATTTTCGTTTTTTTAATAGCTTTTGAAAGGTTCACTTCAAATAACGATTATTATTAGCTAAATAAATATCAAAATGTTGATCTTACAACGTTTATAAACTTGCTAAATCCTCTTATAAACTATTAACAGGCGGCGAAACTCTTTCTTCCTTCGAAAAAACATCCCTACTTTCAAGGTTGCATGAATGGCGAACCGTTCCAAAGCATCATCATTCCGTCACCCACCATTAACCAAGACCGATAAGATAATCATTATTGTTCTACCCTTTCTAATACGTTTACGTTCTATATAATTTACGTCTGTTAAAAGGTGGCTACGAATTAATTAAAAGAAAATAATAATAAGTCTGTCACGTCTATCCGAACTTAAACTACCAAAATGCCCCGTTATAACGATGTTACGCGAGGCAAAACGAACGTAATAAGCGAGCTTCCACGCCGAAAAAACAGCTCGATACAACGACAGGTAAACATAATACAAACCTAGCGATTCCTGCGTTGTCAGGAAGTCGGACGACAGGAACTGTGAAACCAGAGAAGTTTTGCCCACCCCAGTCGATCCGATGAGTAAAACTCTGTATATGGTTTCGGGTGATATGCACAACTGTGGAACGGGTATCAGATGGTTACCCAAACAGACGACACCTTTGCCAGTCACACTAAAGCTACGCAGGCGGTGGGAAGTGGGTACGTCTAAATGCGTATCACTCGACGGTATCTCGCTGGAACGTCTCTTCCACGATGTAGTATCCGGTCTCAAGTGGACAGGGGTGGTCCCGGGTGACGTCATCCAACGTAGATCGGGAGCGCTGACGGTCAGATGGGGTATCTTATCCGACATGTTTGTGGTTGAAGCGGAGGTTGAATCGTCGCTTATATATTGCTAGTCTGCACTTGCGCCTTTTCGACATGATACATCTTCGATATATAAAGCCGGCATTTGACATATTTATCGCTCAGTGGATGATAATTCGATTAATAACACTAGAAAAGTCGACCCCGAAGACCTGTAAGATAATAAGATTTGTTTTTTTTTTATTCGTTCCTCTTTATATTTTAGTATATTATACTAAGTTAGTACGTGATAATGGAGTGGATAAGGCGTATAAAGTCGACTAAAATCGTAACGAATAGCGACGTAATCAAATTACTGTAAATTTGTTTTACTGCAAATCGTTAATTCGGTAAATTATTTATAGATTATTTTTTGTTTTTTGCTCTAGAGAAGAATTAGCAATTAAATATACGGAGAAAACGACGCGTGGATGAGGTAATTATTGCGGTTATGTGGAAGAGAGGATGCGAAATGTGAAGAATAAATTAGGAAATGGATTCTTAATACTATTATTAGAAAAGTCATAACGTAGGAGATGTATTTATATACGAAATTTTCGCATTTCTAGCGAAGCCAAGGTAGCAAGCAGAGTTATAGTTTTTCTGGAAATGAGTGCGCGGTCGAACTCCCCCGCATTACTTCGTTTTCTCTATTTACTTACACCCTAACGAATGTAACCTTTACAATAATTACTATTAGGATATATTGATTATAATGTTTTCTACCAAAATATATATATTTATTTATTTATTTATCTCTTCTGTGTGACTTGGTAACTACGACGACCTTTGATCTTTATAGAAAGTGACCTTAAGTTTTCTGGTCGGGAGTTGACTACCAATGATAATCGTTATTACACATCTTAAATTATTATATTGCAATTTAATACGAAGAATATATAAATTATATTTAGCTGAGTCCTTCAATAATTATTTATGGATTCATTTCCGTATAATATAAATATATATTTATTTCTTTATTATTAAAATATATAAAATATAAAGTGAAATTCTCTGGCAGAACTTCTAGTTCTTCTATTATGTACACACGTATATTACTTTCTCGACTGTTATGTAGTTAATATAATAGGGGGAAAATACGGAGATGGGCCAAAAAAATGATCTCCCTCCCCAAATTGTTTACATTTTTGGTGTCGGGAGACCTTGAAACGTCGATAAATGGAAAAAAGTTGGGGATTTTTCCCTCTATGTATCGATATTTGTGTGTAGGACTATGTAAGAACACGATTTTCCTCATCCACTTTGAACCTTAATAACTCCTGTGTCTTTTGTCGAAAATTTCTAATTTTTTGTATTAGGGTCGTTGATGCTGTTAAATTTTGGAGGTGAAAGGTCGAGGGATGGGAGATACAGGGTGTCACGTGTCGTATGTCGGACTTAATGTAGAATTTACTCGTTATTAGCATTTACAATTCTTTTTATAAAGCTCGTCTTTACTCTCGAAATTATGCTATTTGCCATTTATAATAATTAATAATATACAAAACGTTTTTAAAATAAAATCTCGTAACAGATGGCGCCACACACAATTTTAACTTTTTTGCTGAGAAAGTTACGCAACTCGCTGCTAGATTTTATTATTATCGTTGTTATTCTGTCTCGTATTAATCTTCATGTATGTTTATCTAACCATCTTTGTTTTCTTGTACTTTCTCTAAGCATTCTTATACCTATGTTTACACTAGTGTTTTACGTCCTTATCTTACTACATGCCTTCTGTTTATATTTCTATCAGTAATTTTTACTTACTCTAATTCATTTTAACAATCTACGTCATGTTTATCCTGGCATGTTTACGTTCATTATTCATTCTTTACTGTTTGTTTCCCTTCTCGAGCCGTGTTTACGGTGTAATTTCAATCCAGATGCGCTCTCTTGACTGATTATCCCAAATTGGCACCCGCATTTGTTCCTGTAATTGGATCTTTATATATTTATCTTTCCACCAACTGTTCCTATGATAATTCTGTATTAAATAGTTTTAGCACGCATCAATTTACTAACAATAAAACTTTTCTTTTTCTGTTCCGTCCACCCTTCCGAAGTTAATTTCTAAAAGATTGTTTGGAATTTTTCGCATAAATGTCACTTCAATTTTTGTAGTATTGATATTCAAAACTTGGGAAATAAAATAGATTTTCTATTCTGTTTATTCGATCGATCAAACTCGCTTAAGTCCCTTCACAATCGTAAAATCGCACTATTGAGTTAAGCTTGGACTAACTTTTCTATATTGATGTAACACAAAAGTTTTCTTTAAAATTCCTATGACATAATCGATTTTTCTCCTATAAAATAAGGCAGGGTATTATAAAATACACAGCAAATGTTGTATACAATGTATGTGTGTGTGTGTGTGTGTGTGTGTGCATTGTTTCACACAACCAACAAACATAATAAATATTGATTCTTCTCACCTGGAAAAAGAAAAAAAATCAATATTTCGAGAATTTAAGAATCATTTTCAAGTTTTTATTCTAGAAGTTGTCACTTTCAAGTTTTCTACAAGAGAAACTGTAACTAAATTTAAGCGATTTTCAATAAGTTTACCACATTATTTATTCCGAATAAATGATTACTCCTTTAATTTCTTGATAATCCTCTTCGATTTCGAATTCCATTTTATAAATCTTGCAATTCGTCGGTGCAACAAATCCTCATGAATAACAAATACTTTCAAATTATGTTAAATGCAAGACAGGGCTTAAAATTAGCAAAAAAACAATAAACTTTCGTCGGGAGGGAAAATAAATAAATAAACGAAGAAAATACCACCCTTATATTACGTTTCGAACAGGGAGTAAAAGATGTTATGTCAACATTTTTATTCGGTAAAAAAAATTAGATAGGAAGGAAATCATTATCAAAGCAAACATTGTTCTTTTCTATTTTTCTTCTTTCTTTGTGTTTTTCCTGTTAAATATCAATCAAAGGCATCGTGAGAAGGAAAATGATTTAATCCTCCAGGATCGATATAAACAGAAATTGCCTATTCATTTCACAAATTAGAAAGTCAAAACTATTATAAACACAATGCTAATCAATACTTGTCTCCTTTTATACTGAACGAAGATAAAACACACTTCTTTTTAACTAAACAGAATTTAATTATGACGAAACGTAATAAGCCCTAGCAAAACAACAAAAGTGGAGGTTGTGTAAGTAATAAACCTGTATAGAAACTGGACACCGGATAATAAATTTGATTGTATTCTTGCTTAATTCGTGAGTCTAATTTTCATTAAAATGCATTTAAAACTGTGAATTTTCTGTTATTCACACTGATTGTTTCTATTATCGTACCAGATTTCTGAATAAAATCCTTTATATTTTAATAGGATGCTTTTCAGAACGAAAATTTAAGCACCTTCTTATCTTTTCTCATTACCAGATACAATATTATATCCTTAACTACGGCTTTATATTACCCATTGAGAAATTGGTTAATGTAACAGTAAACTTCTTAATGAATGTATAAATCATTTTAAATCTTTCAGAAGGGAGTTAGAATTCGGCACAAAGCTATAATTTAGGTTGGAATCCATTGTCTTCTTTTCTTTTTAAATAAAGTGTACATTTACTTGAGTAAGGATCCTCGAAATTTGACGCCTAAAGCAGAAAATATGGCTAATAAAAACCGAAATCGTGATTATAAATATGAAAAAATTAAATTAAATTCGCCTGTAGTATTATCGAATATATATCTTCTATATATATAAAAGTCAAAATATGTATGTATGTATGTGAGGTAAAGGGTAAGGTGTATGTACATACAGTACGTCGCAGTAAATTTGGCATGAATACTCTTCGACCTATAAAAAGTACTGTGAAGGCCCGAAGCACCCCTAAATCCTAACTCCTGTTAACTTATTATATATATTTATTAGGTAAAGGTTCTATAAAGGCTCCAAATTTGATGTTGAATATTCTTCTACACCCTAGAAAAAAATACTAAAGTCCACCCCTTTTAATTTAATCTAAGCTTTAGCAAGTTTCTGTGAGCAGTTTCATCGTTGTAAATAGGCCTACATAAGTCAATAAATGTACATTTTAGATACTAAAACCATTGGTTTTATTACCCCCACCCAATCTCACCAATGTCCACCCCTCAAAGGCCATTGCAATGCCGAACACAGGCAGCAAAGTTTTAAATAATAATAAAAGAGTGATGAGTAAAAGAACGAATTTTTTCTTTCGAGAGGGGAGAAACCCCATTTAAAATACTTAAGTTACTTTAAGTAACCTAAAAATCTTATCTAAAAGTCTATAATTCCCTTATGAATCATGCCATTTTAAATAATCCATTTTTCTAATATCAAATATCAGAAATTCTTTTTTAAGAATCCCATTAAAAGCTATTTATAGAATATCGAATGTTCCTTTTTATCTTAAGAAATTAATTTTTTCTTTTCTTTCTTTTTCCTATTACGTATCCTGTGGTTAATGTAGTTAATCGATGGCAAATGATTAGAAAATAAAACTGACCCCTCGCATCTGTTGCTAGAAAAGTAATTGTTATTATTATAGCATCAATTCTAATCAAATGTTTATTGTGTTTGTGTGACCCAATTCCCTGAAAATGCAGTTTATAGCTACGCTCGACCGCGGAAAAAAAAGTGGAAAAATAGAATGAAACATGTACTTACTTTATAGAATTTTAACGAGTATAAACAGGGAAAAAAAAGGAAAGAAATCCTTCCAAGCAGAATGATTTTTTTCTGTCTTTAGCCATCACATCTGTAAAATAAATTAAAAAATTCTTATATTGGACTTGAGTTAACAATTTCAATTTTATTAAAATTTACGCCTAGACAAGTCGGTTTGATTTATCTTTAATACTCGTTCTTAAACAGAAAATAAGTTTTTAAAAAGATAACCACTCTCCCTCTAGTTAATATCCCTTCCCTTCTGTTTAATATCCCTTATCCTTTTCCCTCTATAACTTTTCTCTCCTTCTGTTTAACAACTCTCCCTCTATTTAACATTCCTTCGCTCTAGTTAATATCCCTCACCTTCTATTCAGCATCCCTCTCTCCCTCTATAACTTTCCTCTCCCTCTAATAACATGGACGTTATAGAGGGAGAGATATGTTAAATAGAGGAAGATGGATGTTACAGAGGATAGCTCATCTACTTCTATAACGTCCCTCTTCTATCGAAATAATTGTACACCTTTAAAGAGTGCAGAAAATCATTTCTTCTCTATATTAATTTATCTAAAATCAGACAGAACACAACTGTCTGATTGACTTCAACTGTTCTATAATGGAATATTTGCCTAACAATCATTATAAAATCAATACAGGAATAAAACACGGAGTATGGAAGTTCCCAATTATCATGATGTCTTTTTTAATCTCGAATGGCGTGCTACCGTGTCATTTATATGTATTAGAATAGATAACTTTTTGGAAGTAATTGCCATAGTACACACGACACAAACATACAAATATAGAATAAAATTATTATTTTATTNAAGTTATTTTCTAAATAAAATCTCATAACATCAGGGAAAGCTACCCAACTCGTTGCTGGATTTTTTTATTAATATTGATTTCTTTTTGCATTGTAATGATTTTGGATTTATGAGATTACCAGAAACACAATCAAAATGTCTACAGTCGATCCTCCTATAACACTGTTGATAATTCCGTTTTATATGAATTCCATGTTGTACGAGTCACTTGATTTTACAAATACGTGAGCCGTTCACGGCCCAGCACACGTATTTGTAAAATATAAGTGACTCGTACAACATGGAATTCATATAAAACGGAATAATCAACAGTGTTATAGACGGGTCGACTGTATTTCTATTCGTCCTATGCTATTTCCCTCCCCCATTATCAGTGCTTTAAAATTTAAAAAAGTCCAATATATTATTGTGAAATAACTAAATAAATGTATTTATATGATTCCATATTGGTCTCGATTTATTATAGTGAGAACACTCTCCTCTTAAACTTGGTGACTTTGTAGTAATGTAAAAGGATTCCAACAGACTGTGTTAGCAAGTTGAAGAGTATGGACATGTGGGGCTCTTTCTACAGAACACCACACACATATTTAGGGCCATTTTTTGAGGCCACCAGCTCAATTTCTGTACAAGAATAGATACAGAACAAAAATACTAATGATGTACAATAACCTGGTATTAGAATTGCCAGATTTCTATAATTAATTAAAAGACACACAAAAATGATTACTGTAATACTACCACTCTCCACCTTTCACTGAAGAAAGTTAATGATAAATAACTTTTTATAAGGAAGGATATAAAAGATTGAAACAGAAGATGTCTTGCAATCCTACTTGTTATGCCCCTGCATTAATGCACTCCTGTACGTGTATACACCCCTATATATATGGCCTATTCATGTACAGGATTGCACACGTACAATATACGGTATGTATGTGGTTTTGAATTGTATTGTATAACTGTGGTTATACCAGTCAAGCTAAATTAACTTGTAAATGACGAAAATTGAAATATTCGCAGTAATATACGGGGTGGCCCAAAATTCAGTTGACTAAACAAAAGACTTTTGGCCTAATAACCACTAATTTAGCATTCTTTTAATAGAGAAATAATGTAATTTTACCTGATATTTATCGTTATATTTCAGTAAAATAATGCGTTAATATTTATTCCTTCACTTGACCTTACGTAATGATTTCCTAAAATAAACTGTAAGACAGCAGTTATTAAAACATTTAGTACAAAGAAAGATAATTAAACTTATTAGAATTATTTGCATCCTTGAAAATTAAAGTTCTGTCCGTTCAGCAAATTCCTTCTCCAAACATTATACAGAAAAAATATACAGTCGAGCCGTAAACTGTAATTATAAACTAAATGTCCACTAAAACAAGAAATTAAAGTGAAAAGTCGTCTAGAATTAGCAGAAACAACACAGATTATTCAGTAGGAAGGTCATAGACTCAATTTACATCATACTTTTTATCAATACTTTCTGTACGTTTGGGGTTTTTTTCTGTATGCATGCGTGTGTGTGTGGGGGGGTGACACAATTCTGTTCACCCACTTTAAAGCTTAATAACTTCAATGCCTTTTGTCGAAAATTTCAGAAATTTTGCAGGGTGGTTTGTGTATTGGGGGAATAGATGCTGTTAAATTTTGGTGGTTATACGTCGAGGGGTTCGGGAGATAAAGGGTGGTCACGTGTCGTATCTCGACTAGGATGATTTCCAATAAGAATTTCCAACTACCTTTATCTTCTAGCATGGAAGTAGTTGGAAATAGTCAACAATGGGTGTTGATAAGCTCTTTCCTAAAGTACACTGAGATTAAAACTCTCTCTTTAAAAGAGATTAAATTGCTTATTCTTTACAAAATATAGTATTTTATATCGTAATATAAAATATAGATTCAATTTTCCTTATAAAAAAAATACACCAGAGTAAATAATAAACTTGAATACACATCTATAAAATATCCACGCTCGTCTTCGACGTTAAAAAGCCAGCTAACTTGTCCGGCAAAAAATTTAAAATTGCGTGTGGCGCCATCTGTTATGAGATTTTATTTACAAAATGACCCCACTCGAGATACATCACGTCACTTCCCTCTATCTCCCCATATGTACCTTTAACAGCATCAATGCCCCTAAAAATGCAATTCTCTTTTCAAACTTTCAGAAATCTTCGACCCCCCACACACGCCCTAACGTTAATCCATACGTATAGAAACTCCCCAAATATTTTTGCATTTCTCGACAGTCCCTACAGTCCAAAAGTGTAAAAATTTTGAGGTCCATTTTACCCATTGCCTTACTTTCCTCTGTTATAGGTAAGTCAGGAAAATAATATAAATAAATAATATATAAATTATACATGAAACTTCGTATATGTACTATTCAAATCTGGGGAATAGAATTCTGGAAAACAAGAGTTAGTTCAAATTTTCGCCGTTAGGCGAAAATATGGCGTTTCCAGAACAAAACGTTATTATACACGTTGGAAGCGTAATATGGCGTGATCAATTGTCACACGAAGCATATATATTGATGATTATGCTGTCCTCGGGCTGAGGCAGATACTGTTATAGCCCAGGCACGCTATTTTCTACAGTAATTTGCATAGCGTTACATCACCGTACTGGTTCTCGAAGCGCTGTATTTCTGCTTAGCGGCGGAAATTTGAACTAATTTTTATTTCCCAGAAATCTATTTCTCAAGCACTGTTCTAGGTTTGTCTGCAGGTTATACGTGCTTTTGATGTTCGACAAACTTTGTTGGTAAGTGTCCTATTGCCTTATTTTATTCGAAATCGTTCATATTTTGAATGCTTTTACTTTCCCGGATGTTATATATACATAGCAAGGGATGTGTGTTGTATTGGGGTCTATTTCATTTAATATCTCAGGATGGGGTAAAGACTATAAAACGAAATTTGGCAAGGCAGCTTGTGTATAAGGGGTATTGATGCTATTAAATTTTGATGACGAAAAGTCGAGGGGGTGGGGAGATAGAGGGGGTCGTGTTATATCTCGAGTAGGGTCGGATTTAATGAAGCTGTTATACGTTAATAGCATTTACAATTTTCTCACTACTCTGAAAATTAAGCATTTTTCCATTCGATGATAATTAAAAATGTAGAAACCAAATCGTTTAACAGATGGCGACACACACTGTTTTATTTATTATATTGTAATTAAAAATATAAGTTATTTTCTAAATAAAATCTCATAACATCAGGGAAAGCTACCCAACTCGTTGCTGGATTTTTTTATTAATATTGATTTCTTTTTGCATTGTAATGATTTTGGATTTATGAGATTACCAGAAACACAATCAAAATGTCTACAGTCGATTCTCCTATAACACTGTTGATAATTCCGTTTTATATGAATTCCATGTTGTACGAGTCACTTGATTTTACAAATATGTGAGCCGTTCACGGCCCAGCACACGTATTTGTAAAATCTAAGTGACTCGTACAACATGGAATTCATATAAAACGGAATAATCAACAGTGTTATAGACGGGTCGACTGTATTTCTATTCGTCCTATGCTATTTCCCTCCCCCATTATCAGTGCTTTAAAATTTAAAGAAGTCCAATATATTATTGTGAAATAACTAAATTAATGTATTTATATGATTCCATATTGGTCTCGATTTATTATAGTGAGAACACTCTCCTCTTAAACTTGGTGACTTTGTAGTAATGTAAAAGGATTCCAACAGACTGTGTTAGCAAGTTGAAGAGTATGGACATGTGGGGCTCTTTCTACAGAACACCACACACATATTTAGGGCCATTTTTTGAGGCCACCAGCTCAATTTCTGTACAAGAATAGATACAGAACAAAAATACTAATGATGTACAATAACCTGGTATTAGAATTGCCAGATTTCTATAATTAATTAAAAGACACACAAAAATGATTACTGTAATACTACCACTCTCCACCTTTCACTGAAGAAAGTTAATGATAAATAACTTTTTATAAGGAAGGATATAAAAGATTGAAACAGAAGATGTCTTGCAATCCTACTTGTTATGCCCCTGCATTAATGCACTCCTGTACGTGTATACACCCCTATATATATGGCCTATTCATGTACAGGATTGCACACGTACAATATACGGTATGTATGTGGTTTTGAATTGTATTGTATAACTGTGGTTATACCAGTCGACCCCCCTATAACACTGTTGATTTTTCCGTTTT